ATTATGCTAAACGCTTAAATTTTGAACATTTATTAATAACCATAAATTATTAAATAGTGGACTATTTATTAATGTTTTGTAGATGGGGACGGGGGGACAGGAGAGCGAAGTCCACACCCCACCCTACCCTTGATTAAATATATTAAATAAATACATTTGTATGTTAAATATATAATATTATTTAGGGTAAATTACAAAGACCCCCCTTTACTATGACCACGAGACAAAGATCCCCTTCACCGTTGACAGAATGTGTTAAATTACCAAAATACCCCAGTAAACTTTTTCTTTTTTTTTTTGCCTTTTTTTTATTAAAACCTATTTTCCCTTTCTTCTCTTCTTTTCCCCTCCCTTACTGTCCTCTCTCATTCTTTCTCTCTCCCAACTCTCCAAAATAAAAGGTTGGAGGAAACCCATTTATCATCTTCCCTTTCTTCTCTTCAGCGAGCCAGTAGTGAAGCTGCGACATACCAGAGAGTGGGGAAAGGGGAAGGTTAAGCTCGAAGAATAAAGGGGAGGAGAGAAACATCTGTAATTACCAGCAGACATTTTCGGTCCAGGTGCCCCCGTGGCAAGTACATGACAACACTCCCTTTCTTCGGCAACAATATAAGCGGCCCCGCACAACATGCCACAGCTCCAAACACACCGCACCCCCCGCCGCCGACGGCAATGAAGACAATGAGCACAGTGAAGCCGACGCAAGGGGAAGCTGAAGTCAACGCCAATGAAGACAACGAGCACAGTGAAGCGGACACGAGGGAAGCTGAAGCTGACAAAGACGACGGCGACGAAAGAGAAGTAGGTTCACACTCGACCATCACCGAAGCATTGTCATCATCGTCTGTGATGGTGTTGAGATCAATAATGCATTCCATCAAAATCAGAGTAGCTTTGAAATCAAGCAAAAGTAAGCAGAGCAATTTTGAAATAGTATAGCTTAACCTGTTCACCCCCTACTCAATGTTCTCTAAGAGTCTAATGGGTCAAAACTCTAATCCGCCTCGCCATGCGCTCGTACTCCTCCTGAGTCCTGATCCCATTTTTATTCTTTTAATTTATTTATTTTATTAAATAATTTCAAATATTAATTAAAATTAATTCACATGAGGAAGGGGAATATTTTATTTATCTTTCTTAGTAAAACATCTGCAATCAATTACCATGTGGCAGTCCTTTTCGATTGAGGCAAAGAAGACGATTTTTGCATATGTTTCTCTACAAGGGGAAAGGGAAAAGCGAGAAGAAGAAAGGGGCTGGGGAAGAAGAGAGATCGGGGGAGAGAAGTATCTGCATTGTTTGTGTATCATGAGATTGGGGAAGATGAATAGTGTTTTTCTTCCAATTGTCTGAATAATTATTAATATGGGGATTAAAAAATATTGCAACGGTGGATTTTAACAGAAAGCTAACGGAAGGGGGTCTTTGTCGCAAAACAAAGTACATGGGGTTTTTGTAATTTACCCAATTATTTATGTTATTTATATTTTATATATCAAAATATATTTAAAACATTATTTTCATTTTAATTCTTATTTTGTTTTAAATAAATATCCTTCTGAAAACAAACTTTTAATTACAAAAAATGGGGATTCAAGTCCCCAATAGGGAACTTGTCTCCTAGTAACCTATCTTCATCAAGGACCAAGGATACTGGCTAATTTTGTTCTTCATAATGAGGATTAAGGTCACGGGGATTAATTTGAAACTTGGGGTCAAGATAAGGAGTTTGATCCCCACCCATTGCCATTCCTACTCGAGGGGTCATCCCCCAAACCCATAAATAAAGTTTACATGTGATCATGTGAGATAGACCACCTAGGCTTCCCAAGATTTTTACCAAACACTACTTATAGGCTATCTATGTAGGCCCACCTTACAAATCCAAATGTTACACACCTTGTAAAAAATATGCAAATAGGAACTGAGGGCCAATTTTGGATAGCTTTAGCATTGATTGAGCTACTTTTTATTGAGCTGCTTTGAATAAGTTGTTGAAAGAAACTCCAACCATGTTTTTGTCTTCCAAATTATCTTTTGAAATCTCTCTAGGTTTCTACCAAGCATGTCTAATAGGTTGGGTGGATGCCAGACAAACTTGGTTCACAAATATAGACGGTGTTGAGTAAAAGCCCTCCCAAATGGGCTCAAGGATTTAGGCTTTAGAAGCACAAGTCTTTAAAACTTTCCATACATATATAACTGTAAATCTTTCATCTTAGTTAAAAAAACTCATAATCTATGATCTCAGTGGAAAGTTATCATAAGGTTGGCTCATTTGGTTCGTGAAAATAAGGACCTAGAATCATAATTGAAATGGGCCATTTTGTTTTCAATTGTTTGGTTGGGTAGAATCGGAATCTTATTTTCTGTTCGTGGTGGAATGGTATTCCCCTATTTGAAGGAATGGCCATTCCCTCCCCCTCCAATGGGAATGAAATCCCATTCTAACTGATTCTAATTTTCATTCCAATTATTGTTTGAACAAAACAGGCTATAGAAATAAACCATCTCGATTACAATGCCCTTAAAAAATTTTCCTTTTTTTTCATTCAAGTGAAAAAATGCCCTAGAATGAATTTACTCCTAACATAGCTCCTTGCACCAACCACTTCCCTTACTTGTATGTTGTCAACTTGTCATTCATGGGGAGATGTTCTCAACTCTAAGTTGCAATGTGCTGTGAGGTGAATTTGGATTTGTTCCTAGTGCTTATCGCAACGCTTCCTCATAACACATTGTAGTTTTGTACTGAGATCATCTCCCATGAATGGCAAAATGCATATACAATAAATGTTTTCGATGCATGGCTGAGAATATGCTGTGATGGCAACTGGATTCTCTCCAAGCAAAAACTCTATATACACTGTCACTATGAACAGCATGGGGATCCAGTTTCACATTGGTAGCATCCTCCCTATATGTCAAGCAGATATACATGGACGGGAGATATTTCAATGTGCAATTGGACGCCATGTGAGCTTGTATGAGATTTGGGCTCGTCGTGAGGTTGGTAATTGGTGCAAAGAACACTGTGAGAGGAGCAGATCTGGGGTGAGGAACACTTTATGATGAGCAAATATGAATTTGCATGACCTCCTTATGTAGAATCTGGATTTGCTCTTGAGCACATGTCACACCAACCTTACAGCACATCCCAACCATGCATAGGTAACGTCTTTTCATGAATGACAACATATTATGGGAGATATTCTCAAGTAGATATGTTAATGGGCTGAGTAGCCTGACAGGCTAGCTTGGCCTGATCAAATCTATATAAAGCCCATGGGCTTGGGCTTGGGCTTGAGCTCTAACCACTAAGCCCGACTACATTTAAAGCTGGGTTGAGGCTTTCCCAAGTAAGTTTAGTCCGAGCCCAAGCCTAGCCCAATAATACTATATATGATAAGTTTAGCCCAAGCTCACCCACTCACTGCAGCAGATATGAACACTGATATGGACAAAGGACTGCCGGCCACACTTTTCCGGTGCTCTTCTCCGGAACTGTAGAGAATGGCGTCCCTCTCGTCTCTTCGAAGTCACTTTAATCACCACTCTTTTCTCGCACTAAAAAAAAAATCTTGCCAGCAGCGAGAAGCAATGAGAATTTCCCAAAAAGTTACTGGAAAAGAGCGCCCACATCCCAAAAAAGACTGGATGAAAAGCAGACAAAGGGATTTCGGTGGGGTGGTGGAGAGAGGGGAGAGAGAGAGGGAGGTTAGTTTTGTTGTTTCTAGAATCTGTCATGGATTAAATTATGGGGGAGGGATAATAGGCGGCAGAAAGTAAAGGAGAGCCCACATCCCAAAAAACAGGGGACCGGTGAAGTTTCCTTGTAGTGAGAAAAGACAACTCTGTTGGATCCACTTTAGATTTTGGCCAAATTCAATAAAGTCAATGCGTTCCTGATCGCTCAATGAACTCGATGCGTCCTCGTGAAGAAAGAAATGACCATTTGAAGGCCTCTTATAATGGCTCTGTCGTGCTCGCTACTTTCCTGTGCGAAAAGTCCCTTTTAGAGAGGTGTCATGGAGAAAGAAATGGCCATCATGTGAGGAATTATTTTTCTTCTGTTGTCATAACTCTGAAGTTGGTATGTGTTTGAATATACAGGAGGTTCCTTATTCTTTTTCTCATAGGTGGGACATCGAATTTCTTACATAATCTCTACGATAGAAGCAGACATCAACATACTTCAGTGACTCAATCATCGTTCACCATTCCCTTCTTGGGGAGAAGAGATAAATAATTAAGAAAATGGAGATGAGGTTAACGTTGGTGCCTTGACCGACTCTTTCTCTAATTAATTAATTAGAAGATGAAAAGGAGAAAAAACAGACAGGCACAAAAGTCCGAAGATTCCAGTTTTCTATAGGCGTTGGAAATTCCAAACTGGCGTTCAGATCTGTTGCCGTGGTGTAGTTCAATCAACCGGAGACGGAGGTGTAGTCCAAATTATGGAGAGCAATGCTGAAAACCGGCATCCTCTCAGAAAGAGCAATGAACTGGTTTATACAATCAGTTGGATTTTATTTTGAAATTTTGATAAATAATAAAGGACAAATTCGATATTTCAATTTTTTTTTTCTATTAGTCTTTAACGGCATGTCAATTGTTAGAAAACATAAAATGCAGTTTGTCAATTTGATGAAGATTAGAGGTAGTTTAAGAGATTTACTTTATATAATAAAATAATAATATTTACAAATAGTATAAAATATATTATATAATATTATTAATAACAAGAAAGTAATATATATAATATAATATGTTATTAATAATATAACTAATATATTATAAAATTTCTGTTGAGATTTGAGCCAGAGGTTTGGACTTTATTTGTTGTGAGGTTGAGCAAATCCGGATTTCCATCATATACGACAGCATCCAAAATGGGGTCCATTCAACTAATCAACACTTCAACAGTGTTGCGTGGGCCCCACCATATTTACGAACCACACGAGTGCCTGAGGGCACCATCGTTACAAACGCTGCAGTAATGTAGTTCCAGGCACGTAGAATTCAATGCGTCGTCCAGCCGCGAAACGCAAACTCCGAACAACTTACTCCATAGAAGTTAGAACTCACGTCATTGAATTCAACGTACTCTCTCTCCTTCCTCCTCTCCCTCTCGTCTTCAGGGCTTGTTCTACCTCTCTAAAGCCAAAACCCCTTGATCGTTTATCGCGAGCTGATGCACTGATGACTCATTTACGGAGGGCTCGTTGCTACTGGATCTGCAAACGTGGATGGGATGGTATGTCATTCGAATCTTACGTCTATTCGTCTACTGCTCTTTGGTAGACAGAATATATGGTTGTCTTAAAGATTAGATTGAGCTTTGGATATGATCTTATGCTTTGTTGGATAATTTAGTATTTAACGACGGAATTACGTCCAATAGAGGTTTTCTGTTTCGTTGGAGAAATAGGAGATTTTGAGGTTTGAAGGATAATTAGGGTTCTATGTTGTTTTGAAGGAATTGGGAGGGGAGGGATACGAATTTTAACGTCATTTTGGACAGCTAGTCATTCATGTTTGGGCGTTTCAGATTTTTAATTGGTCCGAATTAGAGAAGCGTGTCTATTAAGAGATTGCTTAATGCAAACTCACGACCAGTTAAGCCAGCTATGTTGGAGGCGGTGCAGGAGATTGCCATTTATGTTCACAGGTTCCACAATCTCGACTTGTTCCAACAAGGGTATGTATTCTGCCATTTAGCTAATTGGTTTCCTTTTTCCAATTTCTCTCTTGGAAGAAAACTTATCCTTGTTATGAGCAAGGAAGTTTGGGGCGGCAGGTTATTAATTATATCTGTTTCATTAATTAACAATGCTCCTGTTTCACTCTTCAAAGTTTAGTAATGCATGCAGCATGCTTATTTTAATATTTATATATATTTATTTTTTGCGTCTTTCTGTTGTTTTCCTAGATGGTATCAAATAAAGATTACCATGAGATGGGAGGATGATACTTACACCTCACCCGGAATTCCTGCAAGAGTTGTTCAATACGAAGGTACTGCTGCTTAAAGTTACATTGGGTCATTTGAATCTTATATATGAGTTATCTTGTTAACATTAGACATGGCAAAAGCTAAAAAAAATTTCATTGTGTAATAAAAATTAGAATAATATGCACTCATAAACTCTATTTTTACCGGTGAGCTGGCAGCCTCTTTGGCATTCTTAAGGGTATAGACAAAAAAGACAATGGGACTGTAGAAAGGCTACCTACTGAAACTAGGAACTTGTTGTCAATCCTTTTTTATCAATAACTAGTTGAGTGGCACATACAAATGCACGTGCAATAGGAAGATTGAACTTTTTGAATCTGAACTTCCTTTTTGCGCTCATTTTGATTAAAATCCTTGAAGGAGTGTACTTGGACCCTCTAAAGCCTAATGGCCTGATCTGGACTCCTCCCTTGGCTTTTTTCTTTCATGCCCCCTTCTTTAAGGTATTTTCTGAACCCCCTTGCCTGTGCAGCCTTTTCGTGTGAAATAGGTTTGGGGTAGGCGTACCCCACCTAGAATTGGAGATTTAATTGGGATTTTTATGAGAAGATTACCTATGATTTGCTATAGAAAAGGAAACCTAATTACTACTTGGCTCCTCATTTGCATGTTCTCTGCAAAGCAAATAGCGAGACTTGCTATCATTTACTAATCTTTTATCAATTTGTTACTTGTATTTGTTTTTTTTTCCCTGCTTTTTTTTGGGTGTAGATGGAATCCTCTAGATAGCATGTCAAGCTTATTTACTTCCATAAATTTTGCTTGGTTGAAGAAAAGGGTTAGGATTATGTGGAAAAAGAACAAGGGATGCAGTTGGACAGTATGGGAAGAGAGAAATGCAAGGATATTTAAAGAAAAAAGAAATAAACAAGGAAGATATAATTAAATGAATAACCACCAGAACGACAAAGTTCTTTTTCCATGGAATTCACTCGAAAATCTGGCGAATCTTCTTTTCTTGAGTCTTGGAGACAATCAATTCGATCCCAACCCTTTCCCTGTGGAGGTTTTGAAGCTCCACAAGCTTCAAAAAACATCAGACGAGAGTTGCTTGTACTGTATGTATGTATTGCTCTTTTATTTTTAATAAAATTTCAAAAGTCAATTATCAAATAAAAAAAAAGGAAAAGGAAACAATTGTGAGGAGATAAATACCAGTTTGATCTCCTTTTGAAGCTTATCACAAGTGCTGATTTTCTCTAGAGCCACCTCCCAATAAAAAGTTCTGATTTTTATGTGGTGGTCAGTTCCAAACCTCTTTAATGGGAAAGGGTGGCAAGGAAGATTGAGGAAGTGATAGGACTTGAAAGAAAGAGGCAAAACTAAACAAACCAGAAGGGGAAATGGTCCAAATGTGATTATTAGAACAAGAGACATCTAGAAAGACACCATTAAGAATTTCAAGAAGGATAGAGACAAAAGAAAGCTCCACATCCCTAAGGGGTCTTCTAAAGATAAGGACCCAATTGATACCTGATGAAGAAGTCACAATAAATCTGGAAAATAGCTCTATTTTATAGGATGAAAGAGAGTAGAGGCTAGGGAATCTATCCTTCAAAACAATGTCCCCAAGGATCATCCAAAAAGAAAAATCTAACACCAGAGCAAGCATTGTATCTAATGTTGCTACATTGCGCCATACCATCCTAAAAATTTTCTTTGTTTTTTTTGAAAAGGGTAATGTATTGTATTGTATTAAGTATCAAGATAACTATGTGTGGGCAAGTACAAGGAGATTTTGTTCATTAAACCCCCTGAGAACAGTCAAAAATATCTATAGACAAAAAAAGATTGATTGCACTCTCCATACAAGTTCCACTAATAAAAACCAGCCCTTGATCTATACTACTTTAAAAAGTACGAATGGCCTCAAGAATATTTCTTGAATTTTCTAAGGACAATATTTACCCCTCTATATTTAAATTTAATGATAAAAAAATGAGGGCAAATAGGGTAATTGGTTCTTNAAGGGGAAAGGGAAAAGCGAGAAGAAGAAAGGGGGGGGGGAGAGAGAGAGAGAGAGAGAGAGAAGTATCTGCATTGTTTGTGTATCATGAGATTGGGGAAGATGAATAGTGTTTTTCTTCCAATTGTCTGAATAATTATTAATATGGGGATTAAAAAATATTGCAACGGTGGATTTTAACAGAAAGCTAACGGAAGGGGGTCTTTGTCGCAAAACAAAGTACATGGGGTTTTTGTAATTTACCCAATTATTTATGTTATTTATATTTTATATATCAAAATATATTTAAAACATTATTTTCATTTTAATTCTTATTTTGTTTTAAATAAATATCCTTCTGAAAACAAACTTTTAATTACAAAAAATGGGGATTCAAGTCCCCAATAGGGAACTTGTCTCCTAGTAACCTATCTTCATCAAGGACCAAGGATACTGGCTAATTTTGTTCTTCATAATGAGGATTAAGGTCACGGGGATTAATTTGAAACTTGGGGTCAAGATAAGGAGTTTGATCCCCACCCATTGCCATTCCTACTCGAGGGGTCATCCCCCAAACCCATAAATAAAGTTTACATGTGATCATGTGAGATAGACCACCTAGGCTTCCCAAGATTTTTACCAAACACTACTTATAGGCTATCTATGTAGGCCCACCTTACAAATCCAAATGTTACACACCTTGTAAAAAATATGCAAATAGGAACTGAGGGCCAATTTTGGATAGCTTTAGCATTGATTGAGCTACTTTTTATTGAGCTGCTTTGAATAAGTTGTTGAAAGAAACTCCAACCATGTTTTTGTCTTCCAAATTATCTTTTGAAATCTCTCTAGGTTTCTACCAAGCATGTCTAATAGGTTGGGTGGATGCCAGACAAACTTGGTTCACAAATATAGACGGTGTTGAGTAAAAGCCCTCCCAAATGGGCTCAAGGATTTAGGCTTTAGAAGCACAAGTCTTTAAAACTTTCCATACATATATAACTGTAAATCTTTCATCTTAGTTAAAAAAACTCATAATCTATGATCTCAGTGGAAAGTTATCATAAGGTTGGCTCATTTGGTTCGTGAAAATAAGGACCTAGAATCATAATTGAAATGGGCCATTTTGTTTTCAATTGTTTGGTTGGGTAGAATCGGAATCTTATTTTCTGTTCGTGGTGGAATGGTATTCCCCTATTTGAAGGAATGGCCATTCCCTCCCCCTCCAATGGGAATGAAATCCCATTCTAACTGATTCTAATTTTCATTCCAATTATTGTTTGAACAAAACAGGCTATAGAAATAAACCATCTCGATTACAATGCCCTTAAAAAATTTTCCTTTTTTTTCATTCAAGTGAAAAAATGCCCTAGAATGAATTTACTCCTAACATAGCTCCTTGCACCAACCACTTCCCTTACTTGTATGTTGTCAACTTGTCATTCATGGGGAGATGTTCTCAACTCTAAGTTGCAATGTGCTGTGAGGTGAATTTGGATTTGTTCCTAGTGCTTATCGCAACGCTTCCTCATAACACATTGTAGTTTTGTACTGAGATCATCTCCCATGAATGGCAAAATGCATATACAATAAATGTTTTCGATGCATGGCTGAGAATATGCTGTGATGGCAACTGGATTCTCTCCAAGCAAAAACTCTATATACACTGTCACTATGAACAGCATGGGGATCCAGTTTCACATTGGTAGCATCCTCCCTATATGTCAAGCAGATATACATGGACGGGAGATATTTCAATGTGCAATTGGACGCCATGTGAGCTTGTATGAGATTTGGGCTCGTCGTGAGGTTGGTAATTGGTGCAAAGAACACTGTGAGAGGAGCAGATCTGGGGTGAGGAACACTTTATGATGAGCAAATATGAATTTGCATGACCTCCTTATGTAGAATCTGGATTTGCTCTTGAGCACATGTCACACCAACCTTACAGCACATCCCAACCATGCATAGGTAACGTCTTTTCATGAATGACAACATATTATGGGAGATATTCTCAAGTAGATATGTTAATGGGCTGAGTAGCCTGACAGGCTAGCTTGGCCTGATCAAATCTATATAAAGCCCATGGGCTTGGGCTTGGGCTTGAGCTCTAACCACTAAGCCCGACTACATTTAAAGCTGGGTTGAGGCTTTCCCAAGTAAGTTTAGTCCGAGCCCAAGCCTAGCCCAATAATACTATATATGATAAGTTTAGCCCAAGCTCACCCACTCACTGCAGCAGATATGAACACTGATATGGACAAAGGACTGCCGGCCACACTTTTCCGGTGCTCTTCTCCGGAACTGTAGAGAATGGCGTCCCTCTCGTCTCTTCGAAGTCACTTTAATCACCACTCTTTTCTCGCACTAAAAAAAAAATCTTGCCAGCAGCGAGAAGCAATGAGAATTTCCCAAAAAGTTACTGGAAAAGAGCGCCCACATCCCAAAAAAGACTGGATGAAAAGCAGACAAAGGGATTTCGGTGGGGTGGTGGAGAGAGGGGAGAGAGAGAGGGAGGTTAGTTTTGTTGTTTCTAGAATCTGTCATGGATTAAATTATGGGGGAGGGATAATAGGCGGCAGAAAGTAAAGGAGAGCCCACATCCCAAAAAACAGGGGACCGGTGAAGTTTCCTTGTAGTGAGAAAAGACAACTCTGTTGGATCCACTTTAGATTTTGGCCAAATTCAATAAAGTCAATGCGTTCCTGATCGCTCAATGAACTCGATGCGTCCTCGTGAAGAAAGAAATGACCATTTGAAGGCCTCTTATAATGGCTCTGTCGTGCTCGCTACTTTCCTGTGCGAAAAGTCCCTTTTAGAGAGGTGTCATGGAGAAAGAAATGGCCATCATGTGAGGAATTATTTTTCTTCTGTTGTCATAACTCTGAAGTTGGTATGTGTTTGAATATACAGGAGGTTCCTTATTCTTTTTCTCATAGGTGGGACATCGAATTTCTTACATAATCTCTACGATAGAAGCAGACATCAACATACTTCAGTGACTCAATCATCGTTCACCATTCCCTTCTTGGGGAGAAGAGATAAATAATTAAGAAAATGGAGATGAGGTTAACGTTGGTGCCTTGACCGACTCTTTCTCTAATTAATTAATTAGAAGATGAAAAGGAGAAAAAACAGACAGGCACAAAAGTCCGAAGATTCCAGTTTTCTATAGGCGTTGGAAATTCCAAACTGGCGTTCAGATCTGTTGCCGTGGTGTAGTTCAATCAACCGGAGACGGAGGTGTAGTCCAAATTATGGAGAGCAATGCTGAAAACCGGCATCCTCTCAGAAAGAGCAATGAACTGGTTTATACAATCAGTTGGATTTTATTTTGAAATTTTGATAAATAATAAAGGACAAATTCGATATTTCAATTTTTTTTTTCTATTAGTCTTTAACGGCATGTCAATTGTTAGAAAACATAAAATGCAGTTTGTCAATTTGATGAAGATTAGAGGTAGTTTAAGAGATTTACTTTATATAATAAAATAATAATATTTACAAATAGTATAAAATATATTATATAATATTATTAATAACAAGAAAGTAATATATATAATATAATATGTTATTAATAATATAACTAATATATTATAAAATTTCTGTTGAGATTTGAGCCAGAGGTTTGGACTTTATTTGTTGTGAGGTTGAGCAAATCCGGATTTCCATCATATACGACAGCATCCAAAATGGGGTCCATTCAACTAATCAACACTTCAACAGTGTTGCGTGGGCCCCACCATATTTACGAACCACACGAGTGCCTGAGGGCACCATCGTTACAAACGCTGCAGTAATGTAGTTCCAGGCACGTAGAATTCAATGCGTCGTCCAGCCGCGAAACGCAAACTCCGAACAACTTACTCCATAGAAGTTAGAACTCACGTCATTGAATTCAACGTACTCTCTCTCCTTCCTCCTCTCCCTCTCGTCTTCAGGGCTTGTTCTACCTCTCTAAAGCCAAAACCCCTTGATCGTTTATCGCGAGCTGATGCACTGATGACTCATTTACGGAGGGCTCGTTGCTACTGGATCTGCAAACGTGGATGGGATGGTATGTCATTCGAATCTTACGTCTATTCGTCTACTGCTCTTTGGTAGACAGAATATATGGTTGTCTTAAAGATTAGATTGAGCTTTGGATATGATCTTATGCTTTGTTGGATAATTTAGTATTTAACGACGGAATTACGTCCAATAGAGGTTTTCTGTTTCGTTGGAGAAATAGGAGATTTTGAGGTTTGAAGGATAATTAGGGTTCTATGTTGTTTTGAAGGAATTGGGAGGGGAGGGATACGAATTTTAACGTCATTTTGGACAGCTAGTCATTCATGTTTGGGCGTTTCAGATTTTTAATTGGTCCGAATTAGAGAAGCGTGTCTATTAAGAGATTGCTTAATGCAAACTCACGACCAGTTAAGCCAGCTATGTTGGAGGCGGTGCAGGAGATTGCCATTTATGTTCACAGGTTCCACAATCTCGACTTGTTCCAACAAGGGTATGTATTCTGCCATTTAGCTAATTGGTTTCCTTTTTCCAATTTCTCTCTTGGAAGAAAACTTATCCTTGTTATGAGCAAGGAAGTTTGGGGCGGCAGGTTATTAATTATATCTGTTTCATTAATTAACAATGCTCCTGTTTCACTCTTCAAAGTTTAGTAATGCATGCAGCATGCTTATTTTAATATTTATATATATTTATTTTTTGCGTCTTTCTGTTGTTTTCCTAGATGGTATCAAATAAAGATTACCATGAGATGGGAGGATGATACTTACACCTCACCCGGAATTCCTGCAAGAGTTGTTCAATACGAAGGTACTGCTGCTTAAAGTTACATTGGGTCATTTGAATCTTATATATGAGTTATCTTGTTAACATTAGACATGGCAAAAGCTAAAAAAAATTTCATTGTGTAATAAAAATTAGAATAATATGCACTCATAAACTCTATTTTTACCGGTGAGCTGGCAGCCTCTTTGGCATTCTTAAGGGTATAGACAAAAAAGACAATGGGACTGTAGAAAGGCTACCTACTGAAACTAGGAACTTGTTGTCAATCCTTTTTTATCAATAACTAGTTGAGTGGCACATACAAATGCACGTGCAATAGGAAGATTGAACTTTTTGAATCTGAACTTCCTTTTTGCGCTCATTTTGATTAAAATCCTTGAAGGAGTGTACTTGGACCCTCTAAAGCCTAATGGCCTGATCTGGACTCCTCCCTTGGCTTTTTTCTTTCATGCCCCCTTCTTTAAGGTATTTTCTGAACCCCCTTGCCTGTGCAGCCTTTTCGTGTGAAATAGGTTTGGGGTAGGCGTACCCCACCTAGAATTGGAGATTTAATTGGGATTTTTATGAGAAGATTACCTATGATTTGCTATAGAAAAGGAAACCTAATTACTACTTGGCTCCTCATTTGCATGTTCTCTGCAAAGCAAATAGCGAGACTTGCTATCATTTACTAATCTTTTATCAATTTGTTACTTGTATTTGTTTTTTTTTCCCTGCTTTTTTTTGGGTGTAGATGGAATCCTCTAGATAGCATGTCAAGCTTATTTACTTCCATAAATTTTGCTTGGTTGAAGAAAAGGGTTAGGATTATGTGGAAAAAGAACAAGGGATGCAGTTGGACAGTATGGGAAGAGAGAAATGCAAGGATATTTAAAGAAAAAAGAAATAAACAAGGAAGATATAATTAAATGAATAACCACCAGAACGACAAAGTTCTTTTTCCATGGAATTCACTCGAAAATCTGGCGAATCTTCTTTTCTTGAGTCTTGGAGACAATCAATTCGATCCCAACCCTTTCCCTGTGGAGGTTTTGAAGCTCCACAAGCTTCAAAAAACATCAGACGAGAGTTGCTTGTACTGTATGTATGTATTGCTCTTTTATTTTTAATAAAATTTCAAAAGTCAATTATCAAATAAAAAAAAAGGAAAAGGAAACAATTGTGAGGAGATAAATACCAGTTTGATCTCCTTTTGAAGCTTATCACAAGTGCTGATTTTCTCTAGAGCCACCTCCCAATAAAAAGTTCTGATTTTTATGTGGTGGTCAGTTCCAAACCTCTTTAATGGGAAAGGGTGGCAAGGAAGATTGAGGAAGTGATAGGACTTGAAAGAAAGAGGCAAAACTAAACAAACCAGAAGGGGAAATGGTCCAAATGTGATTATTAGAACAAGAGACATCTAGAAAGACACCATTAAGAATTTCAAGAAGGATAGAGACAAAAGAAAGCTCCACATCCCTAAGGGGTCTTCTAAAGATAAGGACCCAATTGATACCTGATGAAGAAGTCACAATAAATCTGGAAAATAGCTCTATTTTATAGGATGAAAGAGAGTAGAGGCTAGGGAATCTATCCTTCAAAACAATGTCCCCAAGGATCATCCAAAAAGAAAAATCTAACACCAGAGCAAGCATTGTATCTAATGTTGCTACATTGCGCCATACCATCCTAAAAATTTTCTTTGTTTTTTTTGAAAAGGGTAATGTATTGTATTGTATTAAGTATCAAGATAACTATGTGTGGGCAAGTACAAGGAGATTTTGTTCATTAAACCCCCTGAGAACAGTCAAAAATATCTATAGACAAAAAAAGATTGATTGCACTCTCCATACAAGTTCCACTAATAAAAACCAGCCCTTGATCTATACTACTTTAAAAAGTACGAATGGCCTCAAGAATATTTCTTGAATTTTCTAAGGACAATATTTACCCCTCTATATTTAAATTTAATGATAAAAAAATGAGGGCAAATAGGGTAATTGGTTCTTGAGTTGAAAAGAGGTAATTTAAAGATATTCAATGCATTCAATCCTCTCTCATTAAATCCAACATTTAAGTTATTAACTTGCACTCATGTTCATTGAATCATATACTTAAGTCATTTTTATTTCTTCTCATCATTAAGTTCTATTAATTAAATCCATACTTAATAAATTAATAATTTCAATAATGTAAAAGCTTATACCTTTAAAATCTACCTATCAAAAATAGTGTTTTCATCTAAGTGGTGGTAAAAAATTAAATCATTTTGGGTCAATTGGATTAATCCATGCTGCCACGATTAAATAATAAAATAAAAAAATATATAAAATGAAAAAAATAGAAATTAAAAAAATTGGGAACATTTTTAACATACATATTGAACAATAATAAGTATGTTAAATAAGAAATGTTTTTATTAATGCTGAAAATGGAATGTAAAATTTAAAACCAATTAGAAATAAAAATATTTTCCTATTCTCTCTCATTAAATCCTATATTTAAAATATATTTGTCTCATCATTAAATTCTTGTAATTAAATCAACAATATTAATTTTAATAGTGTAAAAATAAATATTTTGAAAAGTAATTTGAAAACAAGACCATTTTCTTCCCTCCCAATGGTGGGCAAGCAATTTGACCATTTGGGGTCAAATGGATTAATAAATAATGCCATAATTAAATAATAAAAAATTAAAATAAATAACTATAAAATGTAAGAAGTATTTCTATTAATGATGAAAATGGAAAGCCAATTTCAAAGTCTACCTAGAAATTAAATGATGTCATAGTCAAATAATAAAATTTTTAATAATAGAAAATACAAAGAATCACAAAAATAAAAAAAAAGATAAGAAAAAATTTTGGGTACATATCTAATGTTATATATTTATAAAAAATAAAATATTGGGTACATCTCTAATATTRYRMATTCATTATATTGAACAAAAATAAGATTTATACATAAGAAATAATTTTATCAATGATGGAAATGTAATATAAAATTTAATGTCAACCTAGTAATCAAACAATTTTTATTTTTAGATGGTGGGTTAGTGGTTTGAGTAAAATGATACCATAGACAAACAAAGATTAAGTGTGGTAAGTAAAAAATATTTTAAATAATGTAAATGAAATATATAATTCAAAGGGAAAATTATAGTCAAAGTCGGTTGTACATTTAAAATTAGGTTGCAGGTTGGTCATCAGAGGCTTATGTGGCTGTTGCCAACATGGGACTCTTATTCCATGTTGGACACAGCAGAAAACCTATATCGAAAATAGGGTTTCAGTTTCTCTCCCACTCCCTCTGTCTCTCGATCTCCCTCTCTTCTCTCTTACTCTCACAGTCATCTCTCGATCTCTCGCTCCCTCTGTCTCTCCCACTCTCTCTGCTTCGGTCTATAGCCAAATTAAAACCTTTCTCTCTATTGTTCTCCCTCAATCTTTCTCATTCTTCTCCCTCACTCTCCCTCTCGGTTAAAATCTCCTTCTCCCTCAATCTCTATTGTTCTCCAATTGGTGTAAATTTCATAGCCAAGAGTTTCTTGTGAATTTTATCAAATCGGTGTAATAATTTTTGAACCATACCAAGTTGGTCTCATGTTCTTTTATATGATCTGATTAATACCATATAAGTGTGTAAGAAAATAAGAAAATAAAAAAAATGAGAGAGGGAGAGGGAGAGAAACAGAGGGAGAACGATAGAAAATAAGGGAGAAGGAGAGATCGACCGAGAAAGAGAATGAGAGAGATTGAGGGAGAACGATAGGTAGAGAGAGAATGAGAGAAATTGATATAGAGAATTTTAATACAAAAACCAAAAACCATTTTTATTTATTTTCAAATCACATAGTCATTGAGCAGATGAAGATGACTGTGAGTGAGTGTGAGGGAGATTGAGAGAAAGAGAGAGAGAAACTAAAAACCCTTTTTTATTTTCCAATCACCCAACATTAAAGGGCAATTTCAGTATAAGCTTTTTATTGTGTCTAATATGGATTAAGAGTCCCATGTTGGCAATAGCCACATAACCCTCCAATGACATGGCGAGGGCTTTTATAACTTGAAATGTAGAGCCGTTATAGTTTTGTTGGTTTATGGATCAACTTGTAACCAAATTTTAAATGTACAGCCGGCTCCGACTATAATTTTCCCTAATTTAAAACTAATCCAAAAGCAATGCTATTTCTTATCTAGATGGTGGGTCAATGATCCAACTTTTCAAAAAAATGCATGATGTCATAATTGAATAATAAATATTTAAGTTTATTTTTAATCATATTGTTACTTTTTTTTTTTTAATTTTCAATTTCTATCTTAACTATGATATATCTAAAATTCAAGTAATTAATATGAAGAAAAATTTCTCACGTGCAACGCATGTGCTTAATTACTAGTTAATCCAAAAGAGAGGTTAATTGTAGCTTCTTCTGGATTCCTTTTCTGCTAAAATTCCCACATATTTCTCTCAACCCAATGTGCCTTTCTCCAGTCCAATTGCAGTAGGGGATTCATTGAGGGCAGAAGAGGTTAATTGTAACTTCTTCTGGATTCCTTTTCTGCTAAAATTCCCACATATTTCTCTCAACCCAATGTGCCTTTCTCCAGTCCAATTGCAGTAGGGGATTCATTGAGGGCAGAAATGCTTGCAGTGTTGGAGGGTGTGCACTGGACAAAAATCTCAATTGCAACAAATTAATCATTGAGGGTGATTCAAAAGTGGTAATAGGGTGCTGTTGAATGATGAGGAAGTAATGTGGAAGTACAGGAATGAAATTACAAAGCTTAAATGGCTAGCAACTTCCAAGTGAGAATTCAATGGGTGCAAAGATCAGCCAATTCTGACCTTGGGTTGGGCTAAGCCTGAGTCGAAGGTTTGCACCTTTAGGGTTGGGCCTGGGTTGACCTTCAACCTGACCCAACCCATTCGAGCTACACCCCTACCCCCAAATCCTCATCACCAGCCTCCCTCTGCATCAGATCTTCAGAGCTTTCATCACCATCTTTGCTTATTGCCTTTGAGCTTTACCTAGCATAGGTCATTCCTTCCTCATTTCTACCAAATTGCTAACTGTCACAATGCATTTCCAAATTGCTATCAAATGCCTTCATTCCGAAATTCTTTATCATATATATAAAAGGTACACATGCCTTTGAGGATCCTCTATTACATACCTCCAGAATTAGGAGTGCTAATTTAACAAAACAACCAAACACTCGTAAAGCCTAAACACCCCTACAATTAAATATCCATATTGCCTTCCACTCTAAAGATGTTCTCTTTTCGTCTTTTAGTTGGTATGGAAGATCTTTCCCATCTACTTCCCTGTTTTATCCTCATCAACTGGTCCACCCTTAATGAAAGTCTAGTAATTGTGTCCTCTCATTTTGCAGGGTTATTGTATATATATTTTTTGGAGAAAAAGATTTAACTTGATATATTTCAACTTTTGGTCAATCCAGAATTGGTCATTTTTGTGTTGGAATCTTTTAAGAAACTTCATATCTGAATATAGTTTTCAAGGCGCCAAGGCGAGGAAAACATAGATCCTAGGGTAGTTCCCTAGATACCATAACCATATTTCCTTAATAATTATTGATAACTTTCATAAGAAATGTATTAAAGTATAGAAAATCAACATATTCATGAGAAGAAAAAGAAGGAAAAGAAAATTCAAAAAATATAGGGGCTGAACCCTTATTTTTGCTATAGGAAAAGAAGAAAAGAAAAAGTAGTAGTAGTAGAAGAAGAAGAAGAGAATGCGTTTTAGACAATTTTAAGTTCTTCCTTATTTATTGGTTCAGTCTTTGAAGTATTTGAAGCCTTTGAGGGTTCAATACAGCATTTGTTTGTGTTGTTTAAACCCTAACAAATAAGAAAATAAAAAAAGAAATTAATATATAAACACACAAAATGAACATTTTAGTTTAATAATGTCTATTTTATAATTATAATTTCAAAAAATAAAGAATAAAAAAGTATTTTATAATAGAAAGTACAAAACTGCTTGGCGATTAGGCGAGCCGAGCCTCAAAGGGTGCCTTATCGCCTAGGCATCACCTTATATAAAAATTAAGGTTTTGCCCTTTCTTCTTGAGTTTTAAAAATTTTAATGGGTTTTTGTTCCCACCTTAGAGTGGGTAATTGGAATTATTTCTGTATGTCTATCTGCTACAAAATGTAGTCCTTTGCTGTTCCAAGCAATTCGAATCCTGAATGTATTTTGTTGTCCATTATAGCGTATTGGCATACTAATAAAAAAAAGAGCACATAGCATTTCATTAATTGCTCTGTTCTTTCTGCATTTGTATACTGCTATTCATTATTCTCCAGGCTTTTAGAGCAACTTAAGGTTGAGAAATAATGACATCATAAAAGGGTTGATGCAGCTCCTGACGGGGGCCTTGATAATGCCCTTGGAGTTTGGAGGATTGATGATACAGACAACAGTTTCTACACACAACCATTCAGGATTAAATATGCAAGACAGGATGTTCTTCTATCTGTCATGATCTCGTTTAATCTATCTCTTGAAAAGTGTGAGGTACTTTCTCCTTTCTCCACCTCTCCAAGAAAAACAAAAGTCTATATGATCTGTTAGTAGTACCAACCATCAAATTTTAACTGATGATGTTATGTTTCACTGCTTAAGTCTTACAATGTCACCCACTTGGCATGTTCCAGTTTGCCAAGATGGTTGGTACTGTTGCATGCTTGAATGGTAATTGACTGTCTATGCAATTTCAGGTCCCAGCAACATCAGCTGTAATTTTGAAATTTGAGCTTCTGTTTTCTCCGATATTAGAAAATGGGTCAGTAGAAAGACTTTTAATTTCATCGCATTGCTTATTAAGCTGTTTGTTTTCATCTTGTAATTATCTGAGTGATTGGTGATGTGCATATTGCAATGTTTATGTTGAATCACATCATCATCATCATCACCTAAGCTTTATCTAACACTTAATGTGTGATAGATAATTAGATACCTTTTGACTCATAAAAAAAAATGTGTGATACCTTTTGTGCAGGTTTGATATGCAGGCATCTTTGGATGCATTTCCTGCTGCTGTCCATGAATTCCAGATTCCTCCTAAAGCTCTTTTGGGTTTGCATTCATATTGCCCTGTCCATTTTGATTATTTCCATGCGGTGCTTGTTGATTTAAGTGTGCACATTGTTCTACTGAAAGCTGGAGCTCATGGTCCTCGACAAAAGGTACCCAGGTTTGTCACTGCTCCAGTCTCTAAGTTTATTTTATTTTTGATAAGTAAGTGACCATATTGATTGCATTAAGAAACTCCTTAATACCCAAAAAACTGGGTAGCAGGTCAAAGAAGTACAGATCCAACTTTGTACTTTTTTTCCTTTACAGCCCCTACTTCTGCTAATGGGGTTTTTCTTGTGTAATGTTTTTATTAGTTTCTTGATATTAACTGTTTATATAATGTTCACTTTACTCTATTGATTTATTAGAATAACTGTCTCAGCTGGAATATTTCAGTGATTCACAGTCAGTTGGAGATATTGCTGGTGTAAATTGTGATGGGTCTAATCAAGTATGCACTTTCCACTTTCAATTCTCATTCAATAGAATTTCTTTTTTCATGCTTTGCATTAGTTAGTATGCCTTCTATTTTCATGATACATTGGTATTTTTTTTGTATATTATGTTTCCTCTTTTTGACATGTCTCATCAATTGTTTTAACTTTCCAGGTTTTTTTGTTGCTTTTTCAACAATACCTGGTTGCTTCCTCTTTATTCCCATGTATTCCTATGGGTGGTCTATCCTTCCCTTGCTTGCGTTTTATGATAGATTTTAGACGTTCACTGGGATGGGTGTATCTTGGTCTTGTCTTGGAAGATAGTGATGAAAAATTTGATCACAATCTGAGCCTAAATGATGTGGGCTACCAAGGACCTTCAGTGTTTGAAGGAGCCTCTATGGGTAACATGGGACTGGTTTCTTTCTTGTTTTCTCCTTTTGATTGATAAAAAAGATTTACAATAAAGCTTAAAAAAGAGGGACGACTAATCAGATTACAGATATTGCTAACTCCCTTGAGAAGTGCCCAATCAAGCACCTGAAGCCAGTCATCAAAAAAATACCCTAACTATGCACACATACACATATATGTATATGTATAGTTTTTAAGGCACTAAGTCAAGGGCCTTGAGGCTGGGTGACAGCATAGTGCCTTGTCTCCTAGGTGATTTAGGTCTATTATCGAACTATCAAAGAAGAGAAAGAAGGGAGAGAGGAGAGAAAAGAAGAAGAAAAATGTGAGAGAGCCAAAAGAAAAATTCTCATCCAATTTCTCCTTTCTACCAAAATGCATTTGATCAAGTATGTAATCTAGGAAATCACAGTTCATGTGTCATATGCCTTCACCAAATCTACTTTATATATCAACCCTTGTTTGCCACTCTTCAGTCTCGAGTCTAAAAGTTCATTTGCAATTAGGACCCCATCCAACATCTGTCTATTTGGCACAAAAGCCCCCTGTGATGGAGATATTATGTAAGCTATGACCCTTATCATCTGATTAGCCAATAATTTTGCTAGAATTTTCCAGAAGGCTAGAAGCTGCTTCTTAGGCTAACTGGCCTATAGTCTTTTAGCTGGGTAGCACCCCTCACTTTTTGAATTGAAGTGAAAAAGATGGCATTCAAGCTTTGTTCCAGTGAAGCACTATTGTTGAAATCCTCCAAAAGCCTTTATTAGATGTAGACAGGGATACTTAGTTGTTTCCCCACCTTTATTTGGTATTGTTTCAGGCTTCTGTTTTGTGTTTTTCTCTCTGTCACAGTCAACAGGGGTATTTTTGTCATTGTACCATATTTTTGTTAAGTCATATAAAAACCAATGAGGGGGGCAGCAGAACCAATTCATTCTGCTCTCTCTTTCTCTCATTTCTTCTTCTCTTCTCCTTCTCCTTCTCCTCTTCTGTTTTGCTTTCTTTTTTCCTTCTCTTTTCTTGAACTGATTTTGTACTAAGCCTAGGACTGCTACAGCAATCTTTCAAGTTGGTATCAGAGCGGGTTTAGGTCTCATGTATGCATAGCCCAGCCAGCTGCATGAGACTCTATTAGGGCTGCAGTTTCAGACCTTTGTTGCCTGATTCTTGGAGGTCAGTGAAGTTCAGTGCTCTGTTCGAACTCCTTTTTTTTTTGATCAATAACATGAAACTTTATTAAAGATATGAAACTATGTGAAGTTTAGGTACAAAGGGGAGGTAAAAAGACTTAACTCCCCATCAAAGAGTACAAGGAAAAATAAAAAGTTAGCCCCAAAAATCGAATCCCTATTCACCCCTTGCTTTGCTAACCCATCAGCAAAGGAATTAGCAGTCCTCTTCACCCAGTTGTAATGAACCACCATATTCCTACTCAGCCATTTAAATTTGTTCTTCTCATTGTTATAACTCCATAAGCCGCTGTCTCCCCCTTTTAGCCACCTAATCACCACCTCCGAGTCACCTTCAAGGACCAAACATTTGATGTTCAGCTCCCTTGCTCTTTGGATGCCTTCCAGGGCTGCGAGGATATCAGCCCTAAGAGAGTCTCCTTCCCCAATTGGGCCTGAAAACATAGCAATAATAGCCCCCATCTCATTCTTGAATACTCCCCCAATCCCAGAAGGCCCTGGGTTCCTTAAACAGCTGCCATCAAAATTCAGTTTTATGAACCCAGAAGGAGGAGGGGACCACAAAGGACTGAAGCTCCTCTTACAGAGGGCAGAGGAAGCTATCTCCTTCCAATTTCTCCCCAAATCAGCCACAGAATAATCTGAGAACAGTTCCATAGTTTTCAACCAATGTGCCACCCTTAACAGAATTAGATCCAATAAATTTCCGATGGTTCTTTCCTTATCTGAAAATATTCGTGAGTTTCTTTCTTCCCATAGAATCCAACACACTGCAGCCCTGATGCTTCTCCACATAGTCTTCCTTCTCTTCTTCGGCCATCTGAAAAAGGAAGGAGAGAACAAGCTTTGGACACTCCCAGGGGGTATCCAAACACACCCAAAAAGGGAAAAGACCCACTCCCAAACTGATTTAGCAACCGAACAAGTAACCATAAGGTGGTAACCAGTTTCCCCATCAGCTTTATAGAGAGTACATCTATTAGGAAATAAACAAGAGTTGGGTCTCTTCTTTTGAAGTAGGTCATTTGTGTTAATTCTTTCCAGAAAAGTTTTCCAGCAAAAACTACCAACCCGAGGAGGAATGGGTCTACTCCAAATTTCTTTAACCGGGAAAGACAATCCAATGGGATCAGAAGGCTGAGTTAAAGCCTCAAAAAATGAGGCACAAGAGAGAACACCTGAAGAGGAATCTGTTTTAACTCCTTTCTGAATTCTATTTTTTCCCGGTGACCAGGAAGGATTAGAGTTTTTGTTCGATTGAGGTTTAGGGGTTAAACCTCAAGTTGAAAGTGGCACTCAGTGTTTTCTGGGTGGTTTTTTGATTATTCTAGAGATCGACTGCAAGTGGAGGACATTCAGAAGTTTCAGAAAGTTGTGGCTGAAGTTTTCTTGTGTTCTCATATTTACTTCTAGGGGTTTTCCTTCTTGGAACAACCGGTTTTGAGTGCTAGCCGATTGGTTTTGACATTCAAAAGTTTCAGAAAGTTGTGACTGAAGTTTTCTTGTGTTCTCATCTCTATTTCTAGGGTTTTCCTTGCTGGAACAACCAATTTTAAGTGGCAGCCGATTGGTTTCAACTTGACTATTGATTTTTTTTTTAAATCCTTTTTTTCTCTATCAGAAAAATCGGGCAGTGTGACATTTTGTTCAATTCAGCATGGAGAATGTTGGAAACGAGTTTAAACCAATTGGGGAAGGACTTGTAGGGGCTGGTAGTATAACAGACAACAACTCTTTCCAGATTATGACCATTAAATTTGGTGGAACAAACTATCTTGAGTGGGCTCGATCTGCAATGATGGCCATTGGAGGAAGGGGTAAGTTAGGGTATGTAAATGGTGACACTAAAAAGCCAGCCAAGGAAGACCCTTCTTATGCAAAGTGGGTTCAAGAAAATTATTTGGTTATGACTTGGCTTTACAACTCAATGCAGCCTCATATAAGTAGAAATTATCCTTGGGCAAAGACGGCTAAGGACATTTGGGATAATATGAAGGAAACTTACTCTTAGTCCCTTGATGTAGCTAGGGTTTATGAGCTGAAAACTGAAGTGGAAAATCTGAAACAAGGGGAGAAACCAATGTCAATTTACTTCTCAGCTTTGAAGTCTCTATGGCGTGAAATTGATCACTTGGAGACAATTGAATGGGAAAGTCAAAAGGATGCAAGAACGTAAAACAAATTGGTGGAAAGAAATAGGATTTTTGAATTTCTTGTAAGGCTGAATTCTGAATTTGATATTGTGAGACAACTTCTCACTAAGGAAAGTGTTACCTTGTCTCAAGCATATTATTTGGTACATAGTGAGGAGAGTAGAAGGAAAGTTATGATATAAAAGTCCCAAATTGAATCAGCCTTCGCAGCTATGAGGCCGAAGCATGGTGGTGACAAGGAGAAAGAGGTAAGGAAGGAAGAGAAAAAGGAGGTGGTCTATGACTTTTGCAAAAAACCTAGACACACTAAAGAGATTTGCTGGAAGCTTTATCCTCAGTTGGCGCCTTCAAGAATTAAGAATAAGAAGGGAAATGCAAATGTAGCCACTACTATAGATGTTCCACCTTCTACTGGAGCTAGATCTACGTCCTTGGAGACTACTAGTTGAAGAAAGAATAGGAAAGTCCCTTGATCTGACAGAAGAGGCCTTCAGTAAAGAATACATGATGGAGACTACTAGTTGAAGCCATACCTACACTGAACGTATTTGCCTTTTGATTAGTAACTAATAAGCTTTATTTGCTATAAAAATTAATGTTGTACAAAAAGAGTGTCTGCACAGAACCTCTTGAAAGAGTTAGGCCAGCTCCTTCTACCCATCCTTTGGATATCTCATCCTTTTACAATTTTCCCCTCAAGATTCCCATCCTGGAGGGGTTTTCCTTCAATACAATTCTTCCTTTTTTGTCCTTGTTTGGCTAACTCATCAGCTAATCTGTTATCCCAGTGATATGCTCCCTAATACTAGTTAGTGGTGCAAGTGTGCTTCTTTGCATCTGGCTCCAAGGTTCTCTGGAAAAAACTGCATCGATCACATTACTTCATCATCCCTATTGTAGTTTCTCCTAAATCCATTTCAAGCTCTCTAATTAAAAATTTGTCTTTTATGATGCCTTTTATGCCCTTTTACTTTAGCTTATCTACACAATATGATATGGCTTTACATCATTGCACTTAAAACTATTACACCTTCCATGTGGAACACCAATGTGAGACAAAAGGTTATCCTGAAAAATGCCTTGCCACTTGGGCTATTGTTTTTTTTTTATAACTATGATCACTCATTCAAGGACTTAGTTTTTTTTTTTTTTTTTTGGTCTATGACAGGTTTACTCTGAAGATCTCCAGGTTGTAATTGCCTAGATTTAGGATAAAGACATTTCTAGTGGCCCTTGGAGGCTTTTCATAAGATTAGAGATGAGATCTTTGACCTAAGAGTGGGCACTTGTTCCATTAAATAATTGAAAATGTAGGAATGGATGCAGTTGGAGAAGAAAATGGACAATAATACCTCTGCTGGTGAATGTGATTCTTCTGCAAGTGGTGGACATGGTTTCTAAGGTAGGGTATCTTTCCCAATACCTTCCCCCTCCTGTTTGGGCACTCTCCAATAATGCATTGGGTGCTTTTCAGTCTTGGACCTTGATGGAAGGATTTTTGATGCTTTCAGTCCTGGTGCATTGGTTGGCGAATTGATAGCTGGAATTAGGTCTGCTTCCATTGCAGAGTTTTCCAGAACGAATGTTATGGTGGATGAGAACTTGCAAAGCTGCGGAACTGCTGAGAGGTCTTCAGATAGTGGTAATCTTCCATTGCCTGTGGTCAAAGATCAGTTGGGTAGGATAAAAGGCGTTAAGGTTGTTTCCCTGTGGGCTGTAGGATAGCCTCCAAAGATCTATAGAAGTTATCCTATTGCTGAGATGGATAATGAGGAGGATTGGATGGACAATGAAAGTTATGGCCGGCTAAAAGCCTGACATAGAGGGGTCAACGATCAGAGTCAATGCCAATGCTACCTAGAGTGTTGGAGAATACTTAGTGGAGTAGATATAGTTGGATGAAATGCATCAAATTGAACAATCACTCCCTTTGGATCAGGTGGTGGACAGTGAAATCCAAATGGTCTTATCTTAGACTTATTCTTTTTGGGATTGAGATCTCACCGGAGACTTCTAGGAGATTCGAAGAACATAATAGAGGTAGGAGTTAGCTGGAGCAGGGCCTAGATGTTGCTATTTTAAAGGGGAAGATTGTGTGATTGACAAGGTGTCTAACCTCATCTGTCATCTCATGGGATGTGCCACAGCTGAGTGCTAAGAGGTGTGTGGGTTGGAAGTATGCATGTGATGATGTGAAGGTGGGAGAGAGTGGGGCATGTGGGAGGTAACAGAGGGCATTGCGGAACCTAGTATGGAGAGAGGCAGAAGTAAAAGGAAACTTGAAGGGGAATTTAAAAAAGCACTGACTTTTGGCATGATAGATGGAGGCCACATACATTTTGGCTAACAGGTCAGCAACAGCTTGACAGACACTTTGGCTAAGCAATGCACTGCAAGGGATCCTTTATTTGGACAAAAATGTAATGTAAAGAAGAAATAGGGTGGAGGTTGTATATACAGAAAACAGAAAGGAGTGCTGCCATTCTGGGCACTTTGTATATATGTTTTCCTCATTATCTAATAAGCTTAACAGTTATCCATCAAAAGAAAAAAATTTCAAAAAGTACCAGGAGAAGGGGGTAGAGGGAAGAGGAATTTAGGGAGTGCTTGTGTAGAGGTTGGTGCTAAGTTAGCTATTTCTTATTGTTTGGCTCTTTGAGGTTTGTCCAGTTACAGTAGCACTTATTGTAAAGATTGGGTTTTCTATTATATTTCTTATTGTTCTTTAATGAGTTGTGGTTAATGCAGGCTAGGATTGTCTCTTTGAGGGATTGTTTCCTTATTTGTATGGTGGTGAATGGTGATGATGTGGTTTCTGGTCTTCTTAGGCACGGTTGGACCATTTTAATTTGCTACTTCCTGCCTTATTGTCCTTTTATTTTGGGCATTGTTAGTGGATGTGGCAGTGAACAGAGTGGCGTAGTGGAACAGGATTCATGTGGCCAATTCCATGTAGTTGGGGCAAGGCTTAGTAGAATTGAGTTGTATTTTTGGCCTTTGTCTTGTATACTTTTTTTTTCTTCTTTTAGTGCATTTTATTTTACCATGAAAAGGAAACTATATAAACATAATATGAGCACCAGGGGATATGATCTTGTGTAAACAATTTTGCTATCCTATCTTTATGTTAAATCAAGTAAGATGCAGATTTTTATTCTTAGATGAAGTGCTTTTTGCTGATTCTTTTAGCTGCTTCTAGATCTTTCCTTCCTGTATACACTTTTGAAACTTTTTAAACAGTTGAGTATTGACTTCTCACTTGTCAGGTGTCGGGCCAAAGGGATTCCACCTATTCAAATCAAATTGCATTTCTTAAAGCACTCTTGGTTGCTCGTGACATACTTCTTGACGAACTAGAAAAGCTTAACAAAGCAATTGATCAAACAATAGATTTGACTCATCTTACCTCCATTCTGGGTGACAATAAGTTTATTGGCACAAATCTGCGAGCAGATCTACATAATACTGGTGCTGAGGATTTAAGGAAAGGAGCAAGACTTGTAGCAAGCAAGTCAAAAAATGGTTTTCAGGTACTTGCTTGATCTTTGGGATTCACAGTGCACCTTATACTGTCTGTATTATCTATGCTGTAAATTCCGTTTAATCTCTGAAGTTGTCCTTCAGCAGAATGGTACTACTGATGAAGTGCTTCAGTCTCAGTCTCTTTTTAAGGAGAATCTGTTATGCACTTTCAATTCATTGGGCAGCCAAGTTTCATTTCTATGGAACACATTTCTGAATTTCCACAGGTTTGTTCTACTCTCTCAAAATTTCCCCTATCCTTGGTTCTGTTGTACGGTAATAAATTTTTTTGATCAATAACAACAATCAAGAATTTCATTAAAGATCAGATGGTAAACGGCCTCACTTTGACAGAAAAACAGAGGAGGTGTGAGAAACACAGTAGTGAACTTTCCAAACATTGTAAAGACAAGTGAAAAGTACAGTAAACCCTGTGGATTAAGGCCTGGTCTGGTGCTCTCCTACTAGTTTAGATTGTTCTGTGGTAAGGTATTTGTAGGTGGTGTATAGTGTGTATACCTAATAGGAAAATGTTGATTTCTATTTCCATCCTAATCCTCTTTGATATGTTAGTGAGTATGCCCTACTTCACTTATAGAAGTGCTTTCCCTGGTCATCGATCGATCAGACTATATACCTTAGTTCTCTACTGACACTGTGGCCATATGGCTGGTGTTAGCACAACCATACATCTACATTGACACACTAATAGTGGTAATCTTAATCTCTTTTTTAATACAATCTTATCATTTATCAAAAACAAAAAAAAAAGAAAAGTACAGATACTGCAATACAAACTTGTCATATTCAGAAAGTATTAAGGGTAGATGTAATTCAACAAGGGGTTCTCCTGTACAGCACATTATAAGAATGGCATAGACTATGGTCCTGTTAAAATCTCATTTCTCATGAACCCCCACCCCATTTTTTTGTAATGCTATCAGCAACCAAATTAGTGGATATTAGGGCCCATCTAAATGAGGGTTTTGATCTGGCACCGAGAGTCTAGATCCTTTGATCTGGTAACTGAGGCAGCATTTGTTAATGTTCCAATAGAGCATTTGTGGTGATCTGGGAACAAAAAAGCAACTACTTTTCTTCAGGAATATCAGAACCATTCTAATAGAAAATTACAAAATGTTTCCCAAGTATCCATGGTATTTTGGGGCTCTCCTTCATTAGGAGCTACCACACTGCTGGGGGGGGGGGAGGGATCCCAATGAGTGCCCATCCAAAACTAAGTTTGTTGCTAATCTCACTAGGAGGTGTCCAGTTCTAGTCAAGTCCTTTTTTTTTTGTTGGGGGGGGGGAGGGATCCTACACATTACAAATTACCAAGTAGTTATTCTTTGTAATTATGACTTATGAGATGATTTGAGGTTAGCCATGGGTATATAGGATTATTAAACCCAGTTTAAAAGGCGCTCCTAGGCGCACAGCTGAGGTGCATTTTGGGGTATGCGCCTCGCCCAAGTCCTAGGCGCACCTCTTTCAAAAGGCGTGCGCCTGATGCGCCTTGCGCCCAGGTCCTATTTGCTGATGTTGTTTATTCATTCATTGCAATAAAATATCTTCTTAAAAGGCAATGAAAGTTGTAAAATCATTATTTTTTATGTGAGAAATAAGAATTTCAGACCCTAACATAGACTTGTTCGGGCTTGCCTCGAGGGGCGTGCTACAAAGGTGACTCATAGAATCAAGAATGCAATATGTTTTACATCACATTAAGGAAACAAAGAGATTGTGGGTTTTACATGCTTGAAAATGCTTTATATGTTTGCTTTTATTTTTAAATTTTCATTTGAATACCTTTACATGTTATGTTTATGTATTTTAATTTTAGATAATAGGTTTTTTAAATAATTTATTTTAAAACTTAAGTTTATTCTTTTGTTAACATTATGTTTAATATTTTTTAAATTTTCTGCATTTTTAATTTTTTTTGGAATTTTCTGACCTTTTTTTTTGATTTTTTAGCTTTTTTTTTTGTAATTTTGCGCCTTTCTTAAAAAGGTGCGTGCCTTGCCTTGCGCCTTGCGCTTTTTAAAAACACTGATTAATTAAACCTAAATGAACTGATCCATATCTATCAACATGATCATGTTTTACATTCTCATTATAATTTTTTTTTTCTTTATGTTCAATGATAATTCATTATTGATCCAAAATCAAGATGAGTGTGGCAGAAATGTGTATGCTGAGATGGATGAGTGGAAAAACTAGAAAGGATGAAGTTGGAAATGAAGTTATTTGAAGGAACCTAGGAGTAGATCCAATAGGTAATAAAATGAGAGAAAGTAGACTAAGATGGTTCAGCCACATGCATAGAAGACATTTGACAGAACCCATAAGAAGAAGTGATCTATTGCATGTTTAAGTAGTAAGAAAAGATTTTAGAGCTAATAACAATAGATATGGCATTAAACAGAACTGAATGGCCAACCAGGAGTCATGTAGCCGACCCCATATAGTTGGAATAAGGTTTGGATGATGATGATCCAAAATTGAGATTGATGGTAATCTCACTAGGTGTTCAATCCTGATTAATCTCATGTCTTTTTCTTTTCCTTTCTTGTTGGGTGGGTGGGTGGGAATCTAAGCTTTACAAACTAACAGTTATAGAGCTGCAAATTGTATCCGATTGTCCAAATTCGAATTTGATCCCATTAAGGGTGATCTAAATTTGATTTGTTTATAATTAGACCAAATATGGACCCACCCCTAACCAATCTAATATAATCCAATCAATTCAATTTAAATATATATGCTCATATATATATATTTAAAATTTATATTGTATCTATTTGTATCTATTAGTGAAGTTGGTTTAAACATTGTTTTTTTTACTAAATTGTCATGACTTCAAGTTTCATATTAATTTTTAATTCATTTTGTTCATGCAATACAGTATCAAGGTCATTATTAGTTCAATTTATTATTAATATGTAATATTTTGATCATCTGTAGTTCAATTAATTTATACTATTCAATATCCAATTGCAATCCTAATTCAGTTCAAATTTGATATAAATTAGATGGACAGGATCTCATTCAAATACGAATAAAACAAATCAAATACGGATCTATCTATATCCAATTTGCTTCAATTTGTTTGTCATCCTAAATGGTTATTTCTTTGAAGTATTCTGACATGTGATTTGAGTTTACTCATGAAGATACAAGATTGCACAAAGTTGCCACTCTCAGCCTTGAACCCACATTCTCATGCTTACCAGCCTGAGATTTTACCATTGCACCAAGCAACTCCAAAACCAAGGTTTATGGAACTTGCATTTATTCATAATTAATATTTCAATTTAATCAGCTTGGGCTTTTAAGTTTCTTTCTTCTTGCAGTTGTAAACTTTCAGCCCATTAGATGCTCCAGCATCAACTGATATTAAGCAAGCTGTGCATTTTTTAACATATTATCGTTTTCTTTTACTTAATGTACTTTTATTGATTGAAAAAGAAAAGAAAAACCATATGGGAACTGTAATATACTTCTTAAAGGAAAGCTAATTCTGAAATAGTGGTAGACTGACTGATGGGATGGAGGGATTCCAATAAGAGCTAAAATCCAGCCAAGAGAGGTATCTGCTTTAGTGAGGGATTCCATATGACCAGGAATTTGCTTTCTCATTTTTTTTTGAAAAATAAAAAGAAAAATTTATTGATAAAATAAAAAGCAGATTCTCATCCCAAACCTTTTCTTCTTTCTGTTGCATATTCTTCTTCATTTTCTCTTCCCTTTTGCTCATTTCAAATTTTTCAAAAGCTCTTCTAGCAAACTCTTCACCTCCTGAAAAGAACAGCCCTAAACTCTTGCCAATTCTAACTTCCCTGTCCACCAGGCTCTTAATCTCCACTTTCTCCCCCTCCTTGTCAGCTTGTTGAGACAGAGCTAGACTACTCTCTCCAGCTGGATCTCCTTGTCCTTCTTATCCCCTGACCCTGGCCTAACCTCCAGCCCTTCGTTTGTCAGGGTCGGCGTTATCTCCCCTACGACAACTTGAAGCTCCTCCCCCCCTCCTTTCATCACCCTTTTTCTTTGCTTCCAAGCCTTTTAATCTCTTCCTCTTGTACATTCTCTTATATTTATTGGGAGGACCTGCCCCAATCAGTCTGTCTTTTAGCCTTCAAAAAACCTTTGACACATGGACAAAATAATACTTGTTTGTCCCCCCTTCTATAGGTTCCACAGCTCCTTCCTTGTTCACAGCTCTTCTCCGACCCAGGTGAGCTCCAATCCTACCAACTGAAATTTCAAACTTTTGGTAATCCTCGCACCCTAAAGATGAGTCAATTTTGTCGTTCTTGTCCAAAATCCCTCTCGCAACCTCAACTCTTATTTTCACTTTCTTTTTCCCCTTTCTTATTTGTTTCCTATCATCGGTGAGCAGCCACCAGGAGCTACCATATGTATCTTGATTGCTAGGGCCAAGGTGCTTAGATATTACATGTACTGGTTTAAGTTCTGTACCTTCTGCCAAAGGGACAATGGATTTATTGACTTTATTCCTGGCCGAACTTCTGGGGTCATGGTTGAAATTGTTAATATCTTAGTTCCATAGCATTTAGTGTTATTTATTTTTGTATTGGGATTAGAAGATTGTTATGTATTAGATCTTGGGGCTTGAAAAATATTTTGATTTGACAAGTTAATGAATGTATGTTTTATATCATTGGAAATTAGTATTTTAAATTTATAGAAAATTATAGTATGTTTTATATCATTAGAAACTGTAAGTTTCCAGGTTTTGACAGTCATCTTCATTTTTTGGCTTATCATGCGTACTAGCTTTTGATCACCACATTATTAAGCTATTTCCTGAGATGTATAATTGTGATTGTAACATACACAAATTACAGTTTTATGAACTAAACTATGATTTCAAAGCCTTTGTAGATTGGACATTTTTTTGATAGTAAAATAAAAGGATCTTCATTAAAATAAATTACAACCTAACTGGGTGTTAAAGAAACACCGCCGAACTAATAAAAAATTACAAACAGAATTACATCTTTGTAAGTTCAACACTTCCCAAAATCTTTCCCCCAATTCTGTCTTGTTATGAGACCTAATATTGTGGGCTTGGACCCTCTTATGTTTATGTTTTGTTGCTTCCTTTTATGTTTCTTTCTTCCGGGTTTAATGGGCCTGTGCCTCTATTGCATCATTATGTTTCTTTCTGCCTACTAATCAGGGGCATATTTGTCATTGTATT